AAAGTGCAGAATAACACAGAAATACAATAAACGATTCATACCTAATCTTTTAAAGTGAGCACAAAAACTATTCAGTTATTCATAGATTTAGAATCTGCAGGAAAACTTAACTTTGCAAACTTTAACTACTGGGAACTTAAATCCCGATTTTTTTTATCTTAATTCTGAACTAACAATTTTTGTACATTAATTATATTTCTATTTTCCGTCTCGTATTACAGATATATTTGGTAGCAGCAAAATCCATTAAACTTTCTTATTTCCTGTGTTTCTTCAATTTTTTCTTCATATTTAATATTCTTTTTTGAATTCTGGTATTCGAATGGTTTTGTGCCCAAACATGTTTCATGTCCTATTTCATATAATCCGATTTTGTGTCCTTCTTTCTCGCCGCGCGAGCTTCCCATAAATAAAAACATTGCGTACTTATGAAACGTGGTATTAGATAGATAGACAGATAGATTTTATTAATGTTAAAAATTTACAATTTGTACATGCGTCGAAAAAAATAAAACATTTAATAGTATAAAAATACGAAAGTTTGGAACTTGGCAATTTATTATAGAAAATTGGTTGTTTAATATCAGGTATTGCACACTTAAATCTTGATGGAACCTGGTTTGACTTGGCATTTGGTTTAATTAACCCCGGACAGTTTTAAAAGTTAATCCAATTAACTCAATTTTCTCATACTCAAACAAATCGTATAATTTATTTAAAATATGCCCGTTTCTAAAAACTTTTTATGGTGAGAGATTAATGCGAAGTATTTCAAGTGAACACCAAAACCTATTCAGTTTTTTTTTATCGATTTTGAACCTTTTTAGAAGGGAAACTTAACTGTGCAAACTTTAAATACTGAGAAGATTGGAAGCCAACAGAAACCGCAAATAATTCTTTCATAAATCCCACGTAATAGGGTTTAAATTAGGTTTTAATAGCATCTTGATCTTTTCATCGGGAACTTCACAATTACAATTTCTCATTCGTCTATTTGCAACTTCTGGCCGATAACATACCCGGTTAAAGTTCATAGCGGGGCTTTGGAAACTTTCCCGGGTAAGATCTAATAAAATCCTGCTCAGAGTTGAATTAAAACCGCTGCAAGACTAGCAATTAAAACCTCTTAATATGCATATTTATAGTACTTTTATTCAAAACTCCTGACAACTAAGTTTAATATGATAATGGTACTTTGTAGGATTTACTAGCTGAAAATCTTCGCATATTTGCTGGCTGTAAATTTAGTCAAGCAAATCGCAGGCAAATTGTTTATTGTTTAAATGGCCCTTAAATGCGATACCTTCAAGCGGCAATTAATCATCGAAATAAATGTTAAAAAAAACAATTCAGATAGCGCATGACTCCCAAAGTTTTGGAGATTCGCTCAGCGACTCTTCGCGAAGAACAGTTGCGATTCGACGCTCTTTCCTGCAGGAATTTGTGTTTCCGGGCGTCGCTATTTTACGAACATAATCGCGTAAGGTTTTTGCACCTGAAGTTGTTGGAAGTTGCGTCAGTTTTGCGTGAATAAACTTGTTTGCATTTTGTCACCATCAAGAGCCAACTTGGTAAGTTGTTTTACTCCATCCAGCCAGTTGTGTTTAGTTGTAATTTAATCGGTTAGTTACATAGATGGAGATAAGACCGGCATATTGATAGATAAACGCAGTTTTTTATGGGTTTTATTCTGCTTCAGACGTCACACGAAAACATTTGCTTTTGATAACAGAAAAAAAGTAATATTTTTGTTGTGCCGTTGTATCTCCGGCTTTGGATGTTCCAGGGTTTCGATACAATTTCAAAGTGCACAGTTTGGCAAAAACAAGTCTGAGGCCAGTTTTAAGGCCAACTTAATTAATTGGAAAAATCCACAAGTTTGTTATTATCAGTTGGGTAAAATAGAATTGTAAATATTCTGGTGGTAACATGATACTTTAATATGTAAAGCCCTGTTGTAGTTGTTTTTTTTCTTCTTGTTGAGAATATTCGTGAAAAATGAATCAAATTTTTCTAATCTCCTTTACACTCAAATTGAAAAAACAAATTATTTAAAAATATGAAACAGCCAAAAACATGCTATTTGCTATTATTTTGGTCTATTTTTTTGCATAACAAGCAGCTGATATAATTGTTTAAAAAAGTGACTGCGTACTCAAGATGAGAAAATAATTAAATAATATAGTTCAAATTTATAGCCTTTAATAGGCTTTCGTAAATAGTAAAAATCTTCAAAACGTTATTTTAAATTGGAACTGTTAATTTGCTTGCTGAAATGCTTGCTTAATAGTGACGAACTTTGAAAGATCGTCAACGATGTAGCGATGAGAGGAGAAAAGAATATAGTGAACAAAACAACTTTTAATGAAGGTATTAAGATTCCAAATAAAAAATTTAACTTGAAAAATCCGAGAGCGTAAATGAGGCAAGTGAAACAATAAGTTGAAACTCGTCATCAAACAGGAGCTTCAAAGATTCCTTTGATTATTTTTTATCTACATTTAAGTGCAAATTGGAACTCATTTAGTTTGGACTGTTTTGAAGGCAAACCAATGAATTTTAATATAAAATAAATTGATAATCAGTGAACTAAACCGAAAATGATCAGCGACTGATACAAACATAGAACAATGTCTATTGACAACGCATTAAACATGTTTAAGACCAATAAAAGCATTAACTTAAACTGGTAAACAGATGCCCCTAGTAAAAGCTTTCCTTTCAAAAATCCAAAGATTTCATTATAATATAAATATTTCCCACTTTTATTATATTAACAAAAGTTTCACGCTGATTTATGGTGTTTACAAAACTAATGGACGAATATAAAAATAAGAATTCCAGGCCATTAAATCTGTTTTCATCCAATTGCGCGCCTATTTATTTCAGAAATTATCAGTTGATTTAGCTGAATTGTTAATGCGCCCAATGAAAGAATCCTGGAGAATTCGACTTCTTTTTGGGACAGAACTGCGGAATTTCACTAATGTTGATAAACACTGCTGCCACTTCAAAAGCTCATAGGCAAATAGCCATAACACAGCTAATGTTCCATCGATCACAAATTTGACTTTTTCTTCCTGCTAAAGTTGCATAAATAGTACGGGAAGAAATCTCTGGATTTTGACAATTATCACTAATTTCCTGAATTAGAAAGGAGAAAAAAATTCACAACTTTGAATACTACGGACACACAAAAATTACAGCTGTGCTGATCGAGTTAGTGAAACTAACTAAACTAGAGTATATTTTAATTGAAAAAAACAACACTCAAACGCTCCAAATAAGACAAATAGTCTTAAACAAGCTTTATAATTAAATTCAGAGTAATTATCCTGGAAAAAACTTTTCCGAAGTTTCGAGCTAAGCAGTAGCAGATATTCTACAATAGATTTGCATAATTAATAACGAGCTCCAGACGTAAAGTGCAATTAATCTAATTTTCGCAAATGCAGAAGTATGCTTAATTATTTCAAAGTTTTCACTCGAAGCCATCTGCACTCATAAGCAATCAAAAATTGTAAACGACTCTAAGAACCGTTAGAATAATTGGGGGGCGTAACCCAAATCTAGCTTCAAACATTTCAAATTACAGTACAATCAGATGGTTCAATCTCAACATTCTCAACCAAACTACAAACAAATTTCTAGTCAATGTCAGCCTGATGATGTAACGCTTAATTAGACTAAGTGATCGATGTGGCTGTAGGCTATAGACATAAACAATTGGCGAAAGTCTCCCTAAATATATCTTCATATAATCGCATAGCGATAAATCATCACCAAATTGGCTTTTTGCAACCCAGTTTGGCAGGATTGCAGTTTTATACCTCAAAATCCGGAAAATAAATTAAATGGGGCTTTCCAAAGAGATCCAACCTTCGTTAAGTTTGTGGTGAAAAACTGACAACCAAGATTTATTAGCCCTCAGATAACAATTACTTTAAGTTGGAGATGCGGAATTGCCTTTTAATTGCCCAGTAGCCCGAGGCCAAACTTTCCATTCGAAAGAGTCTGGTAGTTGTTTAGAATTGAAATTGTTTTTGTCCAAAATTCATTAAATGAAACATTAAAAACTTGTTTTTACATTGCTGCTTTATGGCGATTTGCAAGTGTTGAACTTACGGAATATCTGCATTATGAGGTGTTTCGTGCGAGTAACAGACGAAGGAAAAGTGTTTCCAAAAATGCTCACTTGCAAGTGGGTCCGTTGGATCGAATTTCGATACGCTAGAAGTGAACAGTTAAAAGTGAGCGCATTTGGTAAATTTAATTAATTAATAGTAAAAGACAATTTCCGGTAAATTAATAGTTTGTCAGACCGTTGCCTTCGTAGTTAACATAATTTCCTCTGTGGAAAAAGTAGTGAATTTCAATGAGAACCGTGAAAACGGATTGAATACCCGCATTTCCACAAGAAATACGACTACGAAAAGTTGTTAGCTAACAGATTTTCTAGAAGCTGAGCACATTTGATATCGATTTGAATAAGAGAAGACATAAATAAGCGAGTAAATCGCCTATAGAAAAACGTACAAAAGTGGTTGAATAATAATGAAAATTAATTTTTTTAATTTCCTTTGGATAAATCTCAACTCCTAAACAGAAGGAAATCAATTGTGAATGTCAAAAGTAACTTCTAGCCTCTTTTTGCTGACTTATTTGAAAAATCGTGTGTAATTCGGCAGAAGTAACTCCTGTTAAGTAATATCCTCAAGTATGACAAAATGCAAAAGCCACGAGCTTTGCTATTAAATCTCGTCGAAAATTACAGCTTCACTTGAGAAACTCGAAGATTTCCTTTTGGATTTGTTACACGGGAAATCCCAGAAATTTGTCATTGATTATAGTCGATTTTTCAAACCCGCCGTGAAATGCAAGATTGTTTAACTACCAGTTGTTAGCATTAATCTGCTCCAAACAAAACCTCCATCTAGTTTCCAGCATAATCTTTCAATATTGTTGGGAAAAGCGTTGAAATATGCAGTGTTTTGTATTATTCGCAACATTCCCAAGACAGATTCGAATGATAGGTGAAATATGCTGACAAAAACCGAATTAACCACTATAAGCAAAGATAAATTTCCGCCATAGGCGTGACATGTTCCAATTCCCCAGTATGCCCAAAGGAAATGTTGGAGTCACGTATACGGATAAATAGATTTTGTTTTGTTAGGCTTCTATCGGGTTTCACTCAGAATACTTCCACACCCTTCTATTCTATATTGCCTCTAATCCCATTATGTTTGCGACAATTGCAGGTGACGAATAATTAAGTTTTATCGAATTTCTTTGACTTGAAACCCAAGTCCAGTAAACACAAAGACCAAGTTTAATGAATTTGAAACTCATGTTGGTTGTAATTAGCTTTGTTCGACTTTTCTATTCCAGCTTGATGTTCTTGTTGCGTTCTGAAAAAAGCTTTGCTTTCCTCGGCATTTTATTGAATTTTATTGAATTGAATCTACCTAAATCAGCTGAAGTTCAAACTCGATGTGGTTTAATTAAAGTTTTAAGTTGGACTTTGTACTTTCGTGTTTTTATTGCCAGCCAGGTAATAAACGATTGTCGCTCTGTTTTTTTGCTTCTTGGCACTGTTCTCCGTCTTTCGAACACTTTTCCTCTAAACTTTCTTTATTAGCATTGAGAAATTTAATTGCATTCAAGTTATAGTTGAAAACTGCCAAGTTTTACAAAGTAAGAACATCTTCTCTCTCTTCTTTACTATAATCATGAAATAACTTTCTTTGAGTGAAGTATAGAGAGAACGTGTAATTGAAACTCCAAGCCAATTTCTAGCCAGATTTAGAAATCACAACACAACTTTTTCCAGCAAACGTACAGCGAATCATTTAAATAGCCTCAATTATTTATAATAGTCTTAAAATAGCAACTATCACTGGAACTTACTAACAGGTTGGCTGTAGCTCGGAAAATAGGCAAATGTATTCAGTGAACACGAAATCGCTTTCGAAATGGTGGAAAAAGCTGCTAATGAAACAGCACTATTTAGACAAGTTGGAAGTGCGAATTTACGGCATCCAGAAGTCTTTTAGTGTAAATCAAACGTCGGTTTAATTGATTCTATAAAATGGGCTATCGGATTGATCTGATTTGCTCATTAAATACAAAAGGAAAAACTTTAATTTACATTAAAATTCAATTGGATCGATTTACGAGGCTGTTTTGATGGGATCGAGGCGTTTGATAGAAGAGGACATTTTTAAAAGCTAATGGCCGAAATGCAATGGAAATTTAGTAGTAGATAACTCAATGAGCTGAAGTAAAAGGAACAATTAATCAATTGCGCAAAGCCAAGGATTTTTAAAACTTTTGTTGAATAATTTGTAAGCCACTCGAAGATTGAGCTTAAATTAGGATGGTTTCCTTGTCATTTCATCGAATAAATTTCAATAATAAGTCCAGTTACCTACGCGTTTAGAATCGGGGTTATTCGGTTTGAAAATCGGGGATTTATGTTGGCACATTCAGGCATAAATTCATATTTCGTAGTCGGTGCCTTCTCGACAGCTGCCGTTTCCATGATTCCTCCAATAACTCTTTGGCTGAA